ATGTGTGATTTTTTACAGAGAGGAAGGGAGAGGGATAGAGTTAGAAACATCGATGAGAGAGAAACATTGATCAGCTGCTTCCTGCACACTCCCCACTGAGGATGTGCCCGCAACCAAGGTACATGCCCTTGACCAAAATCGAACCCAGGAACCTTGAGTCCGCAGGCTGATGCTCTATCCAGTGAGCCAAACCAGTTAGGGCAATTAATTCCCTTTTAATGTGCACAAATTTCATGCACCGGGCTACTAGTATTGCTAATGAAAATGCAGGTTACAGAAAAATAAAATATGCTTCCATTGATATTTAAACGGTTATCTAAAAGTCTAGACAGAAAAAATGTACACAGAATTGTGGACAGTGATTATCTCAGAAAAACAGGATCTGCTTGCACTTTCTTTAAAACAAATTTAAAGAATTTCCATTTGGAGAAAAAGCAAACAGGAAATTCTTTCTGACAACCTGTAATTGAAAGGCACACACAAAATATGGACAGTGTGGCCCTTTTAGTTTTAAGTACACTAACATATAAAAATATACCAAAAGATCAGTGGTATGTTCTTGAGGTGGTAAGATTACAATTTGTTTTTTCTCCCTTTTACTTGACCACATCCTCTCACATCGCACCTGCTGCCAGGCAGGCCTCTGCCAGAGGAAGCCCAATGTGAGGCACACAGGCGGGCCCGACCTGGGGGTGGGCAGAAGCCCCAAGAACATGACTGCACAGCAACAGCATCTGCTACCTTTGACTTTTTTTTAATATATTTCTTTATTATTTCAGAGAGGAAGAGAGAAGGAGAGAGAGATAGAAACATCAATGATGAGAGAGAAACATTGATCAGCTGCCTCCTGCACACCCCCTACTGGGGATCGAACCCGCAACCCAGGCATGTGCCCTTGGCCGGAATCGAACCTGGGACCCTTCAGTCCACAGGCTGACACACTATCTACTGAGCCAAGCTGGCTAGGGCTACCTTTGACTTTTTGTTTTTATTCCTAGATGTCACAGAAAACTATCTACACTAATAAAAGACAAACATGCAAATTGACTGTGCCTTTGCTATGCCTTAAGCCACGCCCACCAGCCAGTGACTATATGCAAATTAACCCAACCAAGATGGCAGCCAGCAGCCACA